AAAATAAGCAGGTTTACATTTTAACCCATCATTTTGATCCTGGATTTAAGTTATATTTAAGATTAACTTTAATCCTGTTGCACCATAACTTTAAACTCCGATTTAAATCTCGATTATGGATTAACTTTAAATTTAAGGGAGGTTTAAATACAATAAAATGCCCATGCAAATAAAATATGTAACTGATCGAACAAAAACAGGTCTCAGAGAGGTGTTTATTACAAATAAAAAAATGTAAATTAAAGCACATCGAGCGGGATGCCCGGAATGCGTATCCGTCACTCTTGGTGCACCTCGGTGTCGGACAAACAAAAGAAGTGAGGAATATTTAACAGCAGCGGTCACGGTGATGATGAGGCGAGCACCAGTGATCGCGGCAGTGCCTCTCATTCTCATGCCCGCTCCGTGTGTCTGCTGGGCGGCGATCAAACGGACAGACAGCGCTTTTCACGAGCGGAGATCGCTAGACGAATCATGTAATTTTTTTTTGGTGTCTTTTGTCGTAAATTATGTTATTACTCCATTAATGTATACTAGACTATAAATCCAGCGCTCCCTAAACCAGGGGCGTGTCTACGTGGTGGCTAGGGGTGGCACCGGCCCCCCCCTGAAATTTGGCTGGCCACCCAGTGCCCCCCCACCAGATGTCTTGCCATAGGATCGTTTTTAGTACATTTCTAATTTTAGGCGGTTTCTATAGTGTGATCTGGTCACAGTGATGATGAGGCGAGCACCAGTGAAGTGATCGCGGCCGCGCATCTCGTTTCTCATGCCCGCTCCGTGTGTCTGTTGGGCGGCGATCAAACGGACAGGGCAGCGCTTTTCACGAGCGGAGATCGCTAGACGAATCATGTAATTTTTTTTTTTGGTCTTTTGTCGTAAGTTATGTTATTACTCCATTAATGTATACTAGCCTATAAATCCAGCGCTCCCTAAACCAGGGGCGTGTCTACGTGGTGGCTAGGGGGGGCACCGGCCCCCCCCTGAAAATTGGCTGGCCACCCAGTGCCCCCCCACCATATGTCTTGCCATAGGATCGTTTTTAGTACATTTCTAATTTTAGGCGGTTTCTATAGTGTGATCTTAATGAGAATGTCGAGAGCGCATATGTTACGCGATCCATGTGCTTGAGGACGAATCTTTCCACTCCCAAGCGGATTTCCTTCACTCACAAAACTGGACGTGTGCTTTTAACATACATCGTTCCGCAAACACAACCACCAAGTCAAGTCTCGAGTCATTGCTGTCAAAGTCTAAGTCGAGTCTCAAGTCTTCTTTAATTATGTCGAGTCGAGTCGCAAGTCATCAAATTTGGGACCCGAGTCCGAGTCAAGTCTCGAGTCATGTGACTTCAGTCCACACCCCTGGAACTTACTATTCAAAGCATCCTGAAAAAAACAGCACGTTTACACAAAAATATTAAGCAGCACAACTGTTTTCAACACTGATAATAATAAGATTTTTTTTCTTGAGCAACAAAGCAGCATATTAGAACGATTTCTGATCATGTGACACTGAAGACTGGAGTAATGGCTGCTGAAAATTCAGCTTTGCATCACAGGAATAAATTACATTTTAAAATGAAGTAAAAAAAGGAAAGATTTTAAATTATTTTATTACATTTTGAACAATAGTGTGTGTACACATATTTGAATCCTCTTTAAAGTAACTAAATTCAAGAGCACTCAAGTGAATTTAATGAAAAAAGAAGTTCTCTTTGCATTCACGTTGTCCCTGGCCCTGTAAGTGGACTTGAATGTCTTAATGTTAAAAGCTTCTTCTAGTTATATTTCACACAATATTTCTAATTTCTGATGATTTACTGAACTGGTTGCTGTGCCAGATCTGAGGTTAAAGGTTTTATATATTTCTGACCACAGTCCTCTTGGCTCATACTTTTTTTTTTGTTTAATCAAGGAGAGTGTAATGGTTGACTGGCATACATGCATTTACTAATGAGCATATTGTTTAACAGATGAACTGTTAACAAGGACTATTTTGTAGGAGTCTCTGGGTATCTGACATTTGGGAAGAACGTTGCTCCTGATATTTTGATGTCGTACAGTGGGAGTGATGTGACCATGATCGTTGCCAGGCTGCTGTTTGGAATCTCAATCATCACCATCTACCCCATCATTATCTTGCTTGGAAGGTATACAGCAAACTGTCTTATGGCTATTAGGAGAAGCGTTACTGTACATCTATAGATTAATTGACATGTCTGTGTGTGTAGATCTGTGATTCAGGATCCACTGCTGCGGCGACGACACAAACACACAGCGGTGACAGAGTCTTACGAGAGCCGGACCCGTGTTGCATTGACCACAGTCTGGGTCACAATCACTCTTCTCATCGCAGTGGTTGTTCCAGACATTAGCAAAGTGATCAGTGTTGTCGGAGGAGTCGGTGCTTTCTTCATCTTTATATTTCCAGGTAATTGTGTCTTTTAATTTCTTTTACAATGCCACATGATGTGTGTTGAAAAAAAAAATTGTTTCTGTATGCCATAATTTATCAAATTAAAAATGAATATTCACATTCACATTTTTTTTCATGTGTTTTATATTATTATTATTATATTCTGATTATAAAAATATTCCTCATGATATGACCAGTTTAAATAAGAATAATGGTTTTAGCTTGATTCTCACAACAGTGTCTGTACGTTTTGGTATAATGCGAATCTTGGTAGCATGATGTGTATATTAATATAATTTTGTGTTAATTTGCATTCATTTTTATTAAAGGGCTTTGCCTAGTATTTGTGGTGCAGTCAGAGTCAATTTCTCTTGCAATGAGGTGAGTGAAGTGAAGTTTTTGATGTTTAATAAAATTCATACTTATTCTTTTACTTTCACAATAACCTTTTGTTTTTATGCTTTGTTTTGTCCCAGATATCTTCTGATCACATGGGGAATGATCACGCTTTTCTGTGGTACCTATATATTTGGCCAGAGCACTTCTATTGCGATCATGCAACTCCTAAGTGATACTTAAATTTCTGTCTGTTACTGTTCAACACAAGGACTTTTAATTGTATGGGTTGGCATAATTTTAGACATTGCTCCAATACTTCATGTATGGAATAATTCTGTAAAAATGGAGATTGTTGTACAAATGTACAACTAAATTTGTATGGAATACCTCAGACAAACATGTCATGTAAATCTGAACAATTTATATATTGTCATTTTTTAATGTTCTGCTATTTTAATGGCCAATGTCACATTGGGACAGATGTGAGCTTAGTTATAATAAAAGAATATAGGATATGAAATTAGAAAAAGAGCTGAAGTTGTGTTTATATTTGGACTATTCTTTAGGTCTCATCGGAACCACTTTTGTACACATAAGCAAATTTGTAAATTAATAAACACATTTTTATATAATTTGTCTATGAACAACTGAATGTGACAGTGAAAAAAATTTCATTTTTCAATTCATTCAAAATCAGTTCATTCCAACACCCAGTGACTGAAAAAAAGCTGAAAAATGCAGTGACTGATCCTTTTTCAGTACTTTATTGAATAGCAGCACTCTACATAATCTAGAATTTTAACAAATTGAAGACGAATATAATACTTTGCATCCCTGCAATAAATCTCTACTCACTTATAAGAGAGAAAGCCAGTATACGGAAACATACATGGATATAAGTAGTAGTATTTCATCAAACAATGCCATTAAAAGTGACTGCTCATATAGTAAGTTTTATTCATTTCATATATAGCGAGAGAGAGAGAGGTTTTTTGTTCCGTTACTGGAGTAATATAAAAGAAAATAAGAAATGCACAAAATCCATTTAAAGTAGCATAGCTAAATTCTATGGCAAATAATTTACTGGACATTCATTTGTTACATGCACTCACTGTGAGGGATAAACAAACCAAACAGAAGGCAGGAGTGGTGGGAAAGCAAACGGAAAGGAACGATGCAGTTTGGGCCGTGTTGGTTTTGAGTTGTTTACACATTGAGCCCACCAGAAATTCACACAAATACAACAGCCTTTGAGTTACTGAGCAACAAATGAGAGATGTGGAAGTCTGACCCACTTTGAAAAATCCTCTTCTATGAGGACATTTTTTGCTTATCCTGAGAAATGACATGATGCCAAATGTTCAGTTGTAGAGAAGCAATAAAACTGATGGAATAAGAATTTAATGCCACTCTCTAACTCTGTGCACTCTTCCTAGATCCAAATATTATCTTTCAAAAATGATCAACATAAAATATTCAATATAATTCTGTTATTACTCAGGATATTATCTACTCTATACCAGCAAATCTCATTTACATAAGCATTTCATCTATACTTCAGGTACATTGTGCTTTTGGACCAGATGTTTATTTGGTGTGTTGTAAATGTAGGCCCTTTGACTGGCAGAATGCGTCATGGTCATGTTTTGAAAAAAGTACCAGTCTCTCTACGTGGCTCAGTGCGTTACACAAATGTGTCATGAAGATACAGTTCAAAGCACTTATAACACTATAACTAATATCAAATGACCTTTACAGAAACACTATTGTCCATGGACAGCTGTAGAAATACTTTGCTGCACAGTTTTTGTCTTCTCAGAAGTTGTACCATAGGGAACTGTTTGCAAAGCAGCGGATGCATCTTTGAATTGGGATGAAATATTAATCAGCCTCATTTCGTTTGAAGACACTGTTTATGCAAGTTGATATTTCAAATGCGAATCAACCAGGTGAGGTTCCCAAAAGCTCTGGGGAGTTTTAATGTCGTTTCTGTGTGTTGCAGTGGTGGGTGAAGAGGGAATCGGTACTGTGTCTGGTGTTCTCTGCAGCCGACACTACTTTTGGCTCAATATCAAATGGATACTGTGTAAACAAGTAACTACAAAAAGAAGGAGACAGAGTGGGGAGAGCACAGAGAGAAAGGGGTGGGGGTAGTTAAGATAGCAGGGACTGTGACAGAGGGAGGAAGAGGAGAAGAAGAGAAGGTTTTCAGGCATAAGGCGGGACCATTCCACCTGCAGACCGGCTGGCTTCTCAGTCTCTGTTCAAGCTGCACCAGGCGGCTAGAAAGAGAGACACAGAGTCAGTGTCAGTATTAAAGAGATAAACAGTAAATGTTTAATGCCCCAGCTTCCTTTCTTTAGGTTTATACAAATATGTCAACCGACATTTTAGACAAATAATTTCTGTTGCAGTTATGCAAAAGGCACCACATGAGATAAAGTGTTTCGATTATGCGATGGAAGGAGTACTGGAAATTGTAATGGAGAATCAAAGCAGACATTCACTAAAAAAGAGAAAAAAAATCAAACAGTTTGCTTGTGTCGTATTAGTCATTCCTGAACAGATGAAATATATAAAATATTTATAATTAGTTATTTATTGATACAGATTATTGCAATTGAGCTATTGAGATTTATTGCAATATTCATGACTTTTTAAATAAAAAAATCTTCAATATGTGATATTTTTAACAGTTTTTTTTTTCAATAGTTTTAAATAACTTCTTTAAAATGTTATATATTAAATATATAATTTAACATACACACACACTTACATTTTTTTGGTGCTATACAGGCCACCGTGTTTTAATCCCTATTTTTTAAATCAAATAAATATATATTTTTTAATTTGTGTATATATATATATATAAACAAATTCAAAAATATTGATTATCTCTCTCTCTCTCTGTATATATGTAACATGCACTCACTGTGTGTGTGTGTGTGTGTATATATATATATATATATATATATATATATATGAATTTGTTTTCTATCCATCCATCCATCCATCCATCTATCTATCGAGAGAAAGAGATTTACAACTATGTAGGATAATTACACTGTTTGTATATTTTGCAAAACCTGTCTCTTGACATACAGCTGACATAAGATTGAGAGATTTCGAACTTCAAAAGATATTAATGCAGAGAATGTCAGAGGACGGGCATGCTGAAAATGAGAGTAATCCTGTAGGGCAGGTAGGAATACTTAATGGCTGTGAAATGTAAAGACATCACCCCAGAGACACAAGACACAAAAAGTAGCATCAAAGGCTGGCTTGGCACCAATGCCCATAGCAGACCCTACGGCTGGCAGCAGTGGAACGTACCAGGCACAGCGACAGCGGACACAGCCTCGGGCTGGCACAGAGTATCCACTTTCACATGCTGGAAAGCCTTGCAAGCTGCAGTCTGAACGTGCCTAAGAGAGAAGCAGAGAAGGTTAGAAAAGGAGCAAAAAAAAAATCCAGCACTGTAATGTCTTTAGATGTAAAATAGCATCAATAATATATTGTTAATGTGTCAGATTTTTGATCCTCAGATTTTTGAGCCAAGAGGATTTTGAATGTAACTTTCATAAAATAAATAAATAAAAAATGAGTATATTTGATAATTTTGTTTCGTAAGTAAATAATAAAGCTCACTTATTGCATGAAAAACACTGTTAAAAGTGTTTGTTTAAAATTCTGTTTCACAAAACACCCATAGGTGTGGTCACATTAAATTTCGGAAAGATTTTTAGAACAGAAAATCCAAATTGGTCTATTGTAAACACTGTAGAGATGTATGAACAAATAAGTCACTTTCAAACCAAGCAGCTTCCTGTTGGTCAGTGTCGTAAATTTGCGTAACCAAGTTGAACTCGAGCAAAATGTGCAAGTATAAGTTTTTCACCCTCATGTGAAACTCCTACTCACACAGATTCCTATCAAAATGACTGATGACTGTGAAATTCTGCCGAGAAACAGTAAATGTGACTGCACCTTAAATTTGGTGAGTTTGAGTTCATCATTTGCTGAATGAAAATAGTCATCGTCTATCCACCTTCATGTCACTTGCAACTCGTGACCCCCATGAAACACAAAAGGAGTCATCAAAATGTCAAAGCTGCTCTTGTCCATACAATGAAAAAACTCAAGTCAAGCTCAAGAAAAAGAAAAAGTTCAGTCGCAACTAAAAGACAAAAAATACAGGCCAATATCTTAATTTTTTTATTTTCATGTCTAGGGCAATATGTTAGTTTTTTATTTTCATGTCTCGTCTCAAGATAATTCAGGTGGTTTAGGAGTTTAGAGAAGATCACACACAGGAGAAAAGGTGTTTCACTGTACCTCTTCCATTCCTCCTCTCCATCCCAGAACTCATACACCACAAAGGAAAGGCCGTCAGGCAGCCGCACAGCCGTCACACTGGAGAGAGATGAACAGAAGTACAGAAGTGAAAAAACACTCTACACTCTTTCATTCTCATACTTTTCAAAAACAATGATTCAGCAGCCTGATGGAAAACCCTGGAAATTTTATAAAAACAAACAGTCAGAATAAAGAAAAGAGGGATAATGTGTTATGTGTTACTTCCACTCTATAGAAAACGTAAACAAAACCATAATTATCCACTGTACTGCATGACCCTCCACTTGATGGCAGTACCTCCTCACAATTCCTGCTCTGCTTTTATATTGCCTAAAGGGCTGCAGCTGTAGCAATGATTAGCATTAGCTCAATAAATCAACAGAAGTCTAAACATCAGCCAGTTCAGACAATCACCACACACTCCTCAAACTTTCATTAGAGGCTGCAAAACTGCAGCAAGTACTGCAGTTTCTGGACTGCTTTCTGGATGGGGAAATGATTCAAGCTTTACTCAATCTTGGGTCGCCCACATGTAACAGAACATGCCATGCCATGTCCCCAGCAGCTGTAGCTGTTTAAAGTCAATGTTAATGGTTTCTGCTATCCATTTTACATATGTAATTTGATGCATTTAAGATAGATAGATAGACAGGAAGAGATAAGACAGAAGAATCATCTGGATGGTGAAAAGTGGGGATTACATACCAGAATGCAGACTGAATGTGAGCTATTAGACTATTAATTAGCATTACCCGATAGCCTGCATGGCAAAACAGTAGAAAGGAAAAGTTGTTTGAGAAGAAAGTTAGATGAATCCAATGAATCCTTCACAGAATGTGCATTAAGACAGTGAATAGGTTCAATTCTGGTTTCATTTTGACTTTAGTAACTGTACAGGTGTGTTATTGTTGTGAACAACAGCATTGCAAGCCAGTCAGTGGCTTGGTGTTATTGAGTTATAAGAGCGGTTGTAAAAACGAAACAGCATTTCAATCCCTGTTAAACTGACTTCAGCATCCTCAAAAAAGGACACTCTGAATATTTCACAAACAGAACATGATAATAGAGTAGTAGAGAGGAGGAAAGTTGAAAGAAATAAGGCAGATAAAAGGGAGGCTACAGAGATGACAGTTCAGCAGCAATGGGGTATTTGCAGAAGCCTGCAGATGTTCTCGCTGATCAATTATTCACTAGTCTGATGTGAATCTTGACGGCAGTACAAAATGCTGCCACACAAAGCCCTCTCTCAGAGAACAGACTCAGGGAGTTTCCTTGAGAAACACTGCAAAGGACCTACTTTACTCACTGCTCTTACATTAATATTTCATCCTGTGGGGCTGCAAAAAAATACTCTCAGTTGTGGTCTGACTAAAAATTTCAAAATGAAGCAACTACCGTTCAAAAGTTTGGGGTCAGTAAGACTTGTTTTAATGTTTGTGAAAAAGGTCTCTCATACTCACTATGAATGCATTTATTTGATCAAAAATACAGTAATAACAGCAATATTGTTAAATATTATTATAATTTAAAATAACTGGTTTTAATTTTTATGTATTTGAACATTTAAATTATTCCTGTGATGGCAAAGCTGATTTAGTGCTCAATTAATCATTGTTGAAAACATTTGTGCTGCTTAGGATTTTTTCGTGGAAAAGGATACATTTTCTCTGGATTCTCAGGATTCAATGTCTTTACTGTCACTTTTGATCAGTTTATTGCATCCGTGCTGAATAATTGAAGTATTACTTTCTTAAAAAACAAACAAAAAAAAAAACTTGCTGACCCCTTTTGAATGGTGGCAGGGAACACAAACTTACTGATTTTAAAACATTTCAGGACAATTTTGATATTTTAGGGCTTTGTAAATGATGTGTATACTGCAGAAAAAGCAGCAATTGTTTAGCCAGTTTCATAAATAAATCATGAACTAGAATAACAACACTCCCCTCTGCTCGCCTGCCATCTTTATCCACAGGAGGCAAAATGATACAGTGTTGTATTTCAACACATCTGGGATAAATACACAATGTTGAGATACATACATTTATGAGAGATGCACAGGTTCATTCTCTAAGAAATGCATAGCAGTATAGTTTTTGCTACCCTCCAACAGACATTTTGAAATATATGAAACTTCGATAGAACATACATACGCCATTCCCTCAGCAGATAAAAAGTAACTGAAAACGGTTAAGTCTGACATCACAAAAAAGCAAAAAATACGTTTGTACTATCATAACGACTTATCTGGTTGAACTGAATATGATGCATTGAGACACGAGGAGGGAATGAGAAAAATACTCACTAGAAGGTCAAGTTTAAGACAAAAACATTAACTTAACTCACTGGAAACAGTCTCTCTGAGCAGACACATTCTTCAGGTATTGTTTCAGGGCCTCGCAGAACTCTCCCAGCTGCTTCTGGGAAACTTTCATCTCCTGGCGGATCAGGTAAAGAGACTGAAGAAAGAGAAAGAGAGCAACAGGAACGCTTTGAATATTATTAACATTTGTCTTGATGTTAATATTCACTTAATATTCTCTTTAGGCAAAATAAATAAATAAATAAAACCAGACATATTTAGAGACTCAAATCACAGCAGAAGGGTTCAAGAAATCATAAGTTATAAACACTTAATTCTAACCCCGTTAAGGAAAAGCAAACTGCCTTAAAGGCTTTGACCCTCATTTACTCAGAGTCATGGTCTATATTGCAGATGAAGGGTTATGAAAGATCTGCATATGGTTACTCCTTTAGGAGAAGGAGAAATAAATATGATACATACCAGACTGTAAAATCAATACTTCAAGCAACTCTTTTGGATCGTCGCCTAAGTAACTAATTAATTCCCAGTGTAATCAGTAAATGATGTAGAATTGTGGGAGTGTGGTTGGCTACCAAATAAAGTACAGTACTGGCTTTAAAACTGGCCTTTGCAACAAGCACCGAAAAAAAATTCATAACATTTCCAAGAAGGAACAATCTAGAACTTAACGTTAATGAAAATGAACCTCTTCTGACTTGTCTATTTCACATGATTGCACCTCTCGTGTAACACGTCACTCAAGCCTCCCACTCCTTTCTAAATTGGTGCCGTCATCTTGAACCAATTTTATTAAGTCTGAGATATTACCTTGCAACAGATAAAGAAATTATAGGTTTAAATGTAATATTTGATTGGCAGACTATTTCCACACTGCAGAGCACCCTGAGGAGCCTAACGTGTTGATTAACATCTGCATTTATATGCTGAAAATCATAAAAGTTTAAGATGCCTATATGCACATCATTTCAACCTGAAGCAATATTCTCTAAAATGTTTATAATGCACCACAGTTCAAAGGTTTGGGGTCAGTAGGATTTTTTAACTGAAAAAAAAAAGTATAAATTAAATTAATCAAAAGTGTCTGTAAAAAAATTAAGCTACAATCGATTTCTATTTAAAATAAATACTATTCTTTTAAACTTTATATTCATCAAAGAATCCTGAAAAAGTATTATGGTTTGCACAAAAATAAGCAGAATAATTGATATATAAACATTAATAATAAGAAGAAATGTTTCTTGAGCACCAAATCAGCATATTAGCATGGTTTCTGAAGGATCGTGTGACACTGAAGACTGGAGTAATGATGCTGAAAATACAGCTTTGCAATCACAGGAATTAATTATATTTTAAAATAGTAAAACAAAAAACAGCAATTTTAAATTGTAATAATAGTTCACAATATTACTGTTTTTACAGTATTTTTGATCAAATAAATGCAGCCTTGGTGAGTGTCCCCAAACTTTTGAACAGTTGTGTATATTATCCTATAACCAGGCCCACCGCACCTGGTAAACTTTTCAGAATTATTTAGCCTTAAATTATTTTCCCTAACAGAAAAGTCTTCCGAGTTTGGGTTTGGCTATAACTTTTGTATGCCATATTACAACCAAATAACCTCACCGCAACAAAAATCATAACTTTACAGGAATTAAATAGTGAAGAAAGGGTATGTTTTTAGAGAAACCAAAGTGTATTTTTTGTATGTACGGTGCGTTCCAAACGGGATATATCGCCCTCCGAAGGGCACTTCAGAGTGAAAACAAACATGGCCGCCATATTGAAGAGTCGTTCCAAACCGAAGTGCTCAAAACTGGCCACTTCAAAGGGCCCTTCGGAATGAAGGATTTCGAAGGGTACAACTGATGGACACTTCGGTTCTACAATTCTTTGCATGATGACGGCACCTCTGTGTAGGCACGTGATGATGACGCAGAAGGGCACTTCAAGGAACAGTTGTTTGGTCCCCTACACCCTTCAACACTTCGAAGCTCTCACTCTGGAGGGTAAACCCTTTGAAGGGATTAAGGGCATAGGGATGAGCCCTTCCGAATGGAACGCAGGGGTAGTGTATGCTATAACTAAGGTGTCACATCTTTAATAGACCATGTGCTGTTCCCCGGCAGGTGGGAAAGATAAAACTCAAGCGAAAACCATTAGGCCCTTTGATTTGACAGCCGTCCTGTTCCCCGAAGGGGAGGGCAATAAAAGAGCAGAAGCGTGGTAATAAACCCTGAACTTAATCAAGAGCACTATGCCACCCAACACTAGCCAGAATGCAATCAGAAACACTACATTACCCAACCTACACAAAACTCAATAAGTATCATTCTGCCTTCCCATTCTCCTCCACTGGAGGCCTGATCTGATGGGCGCATACGAATAATTAGAGAAATGCAAGAGGGTTCGGAATCCAATTTTCTTTGCATTTCAACATGTGACTGATCCAAACGAGCTGCATTGCGACCGATTGCACTAATGTCTTTCATTAGTCTTCAATGTTTGTTTGAACAGCGAGGGGGCTTCATTCAGACTCAGTGCTGTGGAATAAACTGATAAAACAAAGCTCTGTAGATGAAGCAAATGTGACCCATAGTCTAACTGTTAAGAGGCTTTGGGATCAGTAGGATATTGTATTATTAGAATCCTTAAATCTCTCACTATGATTGGAGCCAGTTTAAATTTCCGTAAGCAATATTTCTTGGGTGTATTGCAATGTCTCTCATTTGGGTTTATGTGGAATTAGCAATCCCTGATGTGGTCAATGTGCTTTGTGTATGTGTATGATGTGAATGCACGTGTGTGTGTGTGTGTGTGTGTGTGTGTGTGTGTGAGAG